TTTGTACCAGAAATTGAACTCAGGACCTTGTACTCGCCAGGCAGGCGCTGTGCTGCTGAGCTACAATCCCAGCCCCACCATATATTATAATCTCAACACTCTAGAAATGCTTTCTATTAGTATTTTCTGGTAAAAGAATATAGTTTGTCATCGTTATGTTATTCTCCGTGATATTTAGATTTTGTGTGTGTGTGTGTGACCAGCTCAGCCCACCCTGGAGCAGGGCTGGCACTGTATGTGGTACCAGGGATCAAAACCCCATCCCTGCGTGCTTGCCTAAGCAGGCACATTAGACAACTGAGCTATCTCTCTGGCCCCTATTTAGGTTATTTTAATCAAGCAAAAAGTATAAGTTTTCTATACCATATAAGACTTTTTGTATTTTGTTACCAAAAACCTCACAAATGAAAATTGTAAACTTTCATTACTTACAACTACATTAGCAAATTTTCAAAGTCTAGGCTGATTATCATATGAGTTTAAATATGACTGAAAAATGGTTGGATAATCATAAAGGCTTTATATCATCATTAACTAATTTCTTAAAGCCCAATATGCACTTAGTGGAAAGGCTCTTAATAAAGGTAATGTGAATGAATATTCCAGATTTGTCTTAATAGTTCTGATGACTTCTCATCTGATTCAATTGATAGTATTTTTATGTCAATGTGTTCAACAAAGAGTTACACTAGAAGGTAAGTAGCTCTATTATCTTCCTGTGGTGGTTGAATGTTTGCATCTTAGTATTATACTGTTTCACTTCAATAGAGTTTAGTCACCTGGTCATCCTATGACCAGTAGCATGGTGAAATCTCAATTGTATTCATAAATTCAACTAACTGCTGAATGCAAAAGAATGAATGGGGGAACTGCCTGTAGACCTCCACATACTCTAAATTCTCATCTTTCTGTCAGGGCACCTTCCCATATCATGTGCATTAATGACTGAGCTAAGAAGCTATTATCAATCGGTAGTCATTAGCAATAATGCTTTCTTTATTTTCTAGATTATAAAAAGAAAAAAACCCAGAAATTCTAACAGTCTTCACTCAAATTAGACTGCCTTATACTCCGCACTGCGCAGACCCCTGCAAACTTAGGGCACATTTACAACACACTTTTCTCTTTCTGGGTGACTTTAACACAACAGAGTTTTACTTATTGCTTGTACTAGGTTAGCTGTAATCTGGCTACCTCTCCAAGGCAAGTTTCATTATTCTGTAGTACAACATCTGGAATATTCAGTGAGATCTCCAGAGTTTGAGGGACTGAATTAAGAGAATTTTATTGCCTCAAGACAGCCGCAGCACACTCTATCTATTCCATTTCTTTGGCCAAATCCAGCTATGTGGGCTAGACTGCAAGAACCTTCAGGGACAGCTTTCCAGTTGGGGAGGACAGAAATCCTTAATGGTGAACAGGACAGTGTTTGTTAAGTCACAAATTCAATAGGTTAGACATATGTTGATTACTAGATATTTTAACAACAGAATATATGAAACTGATCATTAAAACATTTATAACCCAACTACTCTAAAAAAGCCTCCAGTTAACCTTATAGTTTTAAATATACTGTATTTTTATAGTTATTTGTGTAAATACATGTACATGTATGTCATGAAACTATCTAGACTTTTAAAGTTGTAAATACTGTTATTTCTCTTTTTAAATATTTTAATAGTTACAGTAAAAAGTACACAAATACATATGCTTCTTTTAAGCATCACTAATGGTTGAAATATTTTATCATGTGGCTAGACATTTTTGTGAAACATGTTTTTGGGTATTTAGGCCGTTTCCATTTCTCATGAACATAAATAGCACTGTGGTAAATATAAAATATCTGCTTCTGTAGCTGAAAAATTTTATTACAGTAAGTTTCTTGAAATAGGATTGCTCACAAAACGACAAATGTATTTATAGCTCTTAATGGATCTTTTGTAAATTTCTTTACAAAAGGGTAAGTTTCGATCTGTAATGCTACAAGTATCATAAGGTTATATCATTCTATGTGCAGTGTACTGGATATTCTTACCTTTTTTATAGAAAAAACTAATGTTAACTTGCATTACTTTTATTACTATTTGAATATTTATATATGCTTAGATTTTTTCTTCCTTATGAAAATTACTTGGTTTTGCTTTTGATTAAATTTATTAATTTGTATGAATTTTTAATAAAGACAGTAGCCCTTTTCCATGTAGGTTTACTTTTATTTTTCTTTAGGTATTTTTTTCAACTTTTGATTATTTTACCAAATATAAGTTCCTAATTTTTATGCAGCTAAATTTGTTTTTCCACTGAAATGTATACTACTGTTCTTAAACTAAGAATGTGGTTTCCTTTTCTAGAAATTAAAAGAAAATCAATTACTCCTATATAATTTTTGTTTCGATTAAAAACATGTTTTATCTACCTGAAAATGGTTTTGATATATATTTCACTGTAAAACTATGTTACAGAAATAATTATACAACTACTACTTGTTCATCTGTTAAATAACCCTTCACCCACTGTGGTGCCACTTTTATCATGTGACTAGTCACCCAGCTCTGTCAACATTCCCGGTTAACGTCAGTTCTACACTGCTGAACACACTACCTTGGGGTAGTTCGTGGTTTCAGTAGATCAAGTGTGATGATGCCATATCTTTACAGGACTGTTCCTCCAGTAAATGCTATAATAAAGAGCTATTACCATGTAAAAAAAAAAAAAAAACCCACTGAAACAGGAAGTATGGGTGGTCGGTAGTTTTTAATGCACTCCTAACATTTGAGAAATATCGGTCAATAGAGGCACACAACCTATTAGGAAAAAACCAAGTATTTAAGAACAAAGTAAAAATAATTGTCCTTAAACTTGTAAGTGATATATAATCTGGGGAGGGGAGCTGAAGATTAAACCCACAGCTATGTCCCCCAGCCCCAAGAATTAGACTTGTAAATGGCTATTAATGTGGCTAGAATATGTTCATTAAGTTGTTTGGATGTTCTTGTGCAGAAAACAGCACAGCAGATTTAAGACTGTTATCCTTTGAAAAATCTACTTACAAAGATTTCTCGCATCCTGGACTCCGATTCCCACAGAGAGGGCTCCAATCACTTTCTAAATGATGGGGGTAGCTAAGTAGGCCTGAACAGTTTATACAAATAATATGGCTTATGCTAAATAATTTTTGCTCTGAAGGCTTGGGAATAGAAGACCCACGTGTGAAAAAGCCCCAGTAAAAATCCTTTCCTGGTATAGTGTAATATGCTTATAATCCCAGCATACCAGGAGGCTGAGACAGGAGGACTGTAGGTTCAAAGACAGCCTGAGCAACTTGGTGAGATTCTGTCTCAAGGCTAAATATATTTTTACAAACACACGTCAGAGTTCATTGGTGAAGTGAGTGCCTGCTTTCTCCTGGACTTCTGTCTACCTTTCTCTTTGCAGTGTGTGTATGTGGTACTGGTGGTTGGACATAGGGCCTTTGCATTAAGGTACGTACTCATCCCTTTTTATTGATTTGTAATTTTGAGACTGGGTTTTGCTAAGTTGCTGAGGCGATGACTTTTGGTTGCATTGTTTCACTGAATAAATTTCAGCCATGAATATGACTACATGTAGTACACTCCTAGTAAATCAAGGAATCTGGAGATAGTTTTAGGGATACCTTATGTAAGTCTTAAGTACTTAACATAACCTGAAGTAATTCTTCTGGATTGAGACATTAATGATACTGTGAATCAAGAAAGTCTGGCTAGTCCTACAGATGACCCACTACTATTATGAATTACTGGACTATGTTGGAATATTTTGCTGAATTCATGCACCTCCAATATTTACATGACAATGGAATACCCATCTCTGACAAAACTAAACAAAAAAAGGGGATACAAATGAAGGACCATTTTGTATCTGTATATTCAAAATAGTTAGAATAGATATACAGCTTCTTTCTCTTAATTCAATGAGAAGAAAGATTTGTCCTAATAGTATTTGGACAGGAGATCATGTCTGCATCTTGTACTATGAATAACCACTAAGAAGACAACAATATGCAATGTATTAATTATTAAAACTGTCCTACTAATCGGTTTTGAAACTGTCCCATTGCTATTTGTTTCTCAATAAAATTATTTAAAAAAGAAAAGAAAGTCTGGCTAGTTGTGATTATGATTATTTGATACTCTGTCAATTATAAATTTTATGTTTTTTGAAATGGGTTTTGATGTGTTATCCATGCTGGTCTTGAATTTATGAGCACCACTGATCCTCTCACCTTAGCCTCCTTGAGAAGCTGGTACCACACACCTAGCTTCGTTAGAAAATTTTAAAATAGGTCTGAGCTCTATTACCATTACATGTTTTTTCTAGACTTTCCATTGTATTCTTGGTAGTCTATTCTTCAGATTAATGTGGAAAAAGACCAAGGGACGTGAAAAAAATCTCCAATCAATATTGAGTATTCTCATTCATACACATAATGTACTTTTACACTTAGTCAAAGTTTTCATTTACTTCACAACTATAAAATTTTTAAGTTAGAAGTAAGCAAAGACTATGTGGGCCAGCTTTATTTGAGTTTGAGGATATCAAAGACAGGTTTACAATTACTCTATTGGAATACTAAAATCCTAATCCTCTAACTTCCAGACCAACCACTTCTGCTCCAGTCTATAATACACATACCTTTGTGTCTACAGCAGTTCATCTGCATACATATTGTACAGCGCAAATAGTACTGTGTAATGCACGTGAAATAGTTCAGATACGCTCCCAGACATGAGCAATGTCTCTTACCTGTTGAATGAATTCATCTCTTTGGTCCATTATTATTTTCTGAGGAGGTCCATATAAGAAAAATACATTGGTAATAGCTTTAGAAATTTCTGATGCTGAAACATCACACAGAGGCAAAATCATAACCCATTTTGTGAATAAATCTGTCAAAATTATAGCATAAACATGACTTCTGTTGCTTGTATGAAAAGGTCCCATCAGATCCACAGTAACTACACTCCATGAATTTTCCACCTTGAGAAGGTGCTGTTTAGGTGCTAGAATAACTGTATTTTTTGCCACTTGGCAATGCTGACAAGCATATACCTACAAAGAGGCACACAATAAAGAAAATATATACAAAAGTTAATATAGTCAACATAAATCAGAGTTTTAAACTGGTTAATAGGTAGTTTGTGTTCTGAAGAAGACATTTTTGGACTAAAACCAGACTACTGTATTAAATCACCTATTTAAAACAACAAGCAGACATTATTTGCTATTTCTATTATGTGATCAGCTTTTGAAAGCACGTTCACATGGAACACAATTCATGATTTATGTGAGTTATTATTTAATTGAAAAAAAATTGTACATACTTATGAGACCATGTAATACTTATCTATAATCTTAAAACAGGTGAATATGCAGTGGTTTTTAATATGTAAGAGATATTGTTCTGCAGTTATTACTACAAAAAAATCATCTATACCAGTATTTATTGGAATATAAAGTAGGTAATATTTATAAATGCCAGAAATTGTTCTAGGTCCTTAAAAAAGTGTACAAAAAGTTGACATCTGAAGAAAATCTGGTTTTCAAGGATAAGAACTGACAGAGATTGTACTGAATATCTGTAAAGAGATATACATGCATGGCAAGTCCATAATTTGATTTTGTATTTCTGCCATGTTTGATGGTTTCTCTCTGAAGCTGGAATAGGCACAAACGTTAACACTACACACCAGGTCTGACTTATTACAAACATATTCTCTTACAGAAAATCCTATGAATGGCACTGAAGAGATAATGATATGATGAAAGGAACTTCAGCACCAGTCCAATTCTGCCTACACAAGTTCAATAATGAAAATCTGGTTCTGAGTGATCTGTTATCTAACCATGAAAAGAGAATGAACCTGTTCAAAAAGAAGGAATTACTGAGATGAGGAGAAGGACAGGAGCGGGAGTGGGGGAAAGAGATCTATGTGAGTAAGCAAGATGGTTTGGACAACGGTACTGTAGGTTTCTGCTGCTGGTCTATGGAAAGGAATACATAAGGCTTACATTTCTTTTCTGTTCTTTTTACATTTTTGTTTTTCTCTCTTCTTAATTCCTTATAACTTTTTTTTATTTTTTTCAATTTTGCATGCATATATCTGATAATCTGAATAAATTGAAGACAACACTGTGCAATACAACAAATACTGTAAATTCACATTATTTCATTTAGTGAAATTCTGTATCATTTCTAATTTTTATTACTATTTTGTGTTCTCTGTAGAAAATAATAAAAAAATAAATTATCTGTTATCTAAATGTTCTTTCAAATGTCTAAAAGCTACTTTACTTGAAATTACATTTTAGTGACTTTAAAGAGTTATGAAAAAAATAAAACTTTTTAGGTGTTTTTCATAAACAAAACAAAACAAAAACAAAAACTAGCCATACACAAAGTACTTAATCAGAGGTGATACCCATAGTAAGATATGGACTAATAAGGAATTTTTACATTTATGACAAGAGTCAAAATATTTTCCCTCCATAAGCCATACCCACTGTTTGACATCACTGGTCACAGAGGTCCAGTAGTAATTAGATTCCACTAGAGTGAGTGTTCTGGATATGCCGTGATGAGCGCCACTGGCATTCTCATGGCATTCTCGTAGGACTTTCTTTTTTTCCTCTTCTGAAACAATTACCAGACGATTTTGTTTTCTGTCTTTTCCAACGTAAAACAGCTTTTTTTCTGGAAGAAATGATACCAAAAGAGCACTGCAATTTTTAGACATCTATATATAGTATTGAATATAGATTTCTCTTCAAACTATAAGGATTTTTTTTTTACCACTCTTTTTCTACTTAAAATAGAGGGTTTATTTGTAATGATGCTGCCATACAATATGAAAGGTCCTCAGTTATACTCTAGGTATGTAGGAGAAACACTAGCTGCTATAATTTTGGAACTATCAACACAGCACAACCAGCTTGTTCATCAGCGTTTGTGGTAATGATGGGAATAAGAAATTATCTACGGCACTATTAACACTCCATCATAAGTACAATTTTAGAGGCAAGCTCCCCTCCCAGCTTCTTCTAGAATTGAGTAGAAGATAGAGATGGTATAGTGGGAGCATCAGTATCCTCAAAGATTTTTTGTTTTGTTTTGCTCTTGCCATACTGGGGATTTTTCTCCAGGGCACTTCACACTGAGCTGTATTTCCAGCCACGCTTTATTTTCATTTTTAAATTTTGAGGCAGGTCTCACAAAGTCAGTAAGTTGCATCTGACAGAAGTTTTGTGTGGGAAGAATCTAGAGCTGGAAAGCAACAAAGGGAGTCAAAAACAAAACAAAGCAAACAGTTTTGCTAGCCTGGCAGCAATTTTAACTGTGAAATAGAGCAAAAAAGAATGTGCCAGAGCAAACATTCCTCACTTAAACTAGAAAGCAGGCAACCTGAGGCCAGCAACTCTACCTTATCCACCAAAATTTCTCCAGTCTAAAATGTGATTGGCATACAAGAAGAACTCAATAAACACATTTTTACATAAATGATTAAATAAATGAACTAAAAAAAAACCCTCACTTAAGTCTAAGAGGTTAAGGGTTTATGGATTCTTAAGCACGAGGACTTACTGGGAGTGATATACACAGGGAGACATGACACGCTTTTATTATGTTACAATTTTTTTGACTCACTTTGGGGAAAAGTCTATAGGGAAGATCCCGACCAATAGCACAAACATTCACTTGGGTTTCTGGTGACTGTCCTTGCTTATTTTATCCCAAACTTCTCCCTTTAAAGGGGGAAGAAAAATCATGAACTTGCAAGATAAACATTGCCCTGGCTTTCAATTATTTAATCTATTCAAGGGCTTCAGGATTATAAATAAAAATAATCCTGAGAATGTTGAATGGCAGTTGGAGAATGGACCACCGAAATAGGCATAGTCTATTCCTCCCACTGGTTTGATCCTTGTCAATATTTTTCATATTACGCATCAAAAAGTTCCTCAATGACACTGGCACCAGCTCTTGAAAGTATTGTATACCGCCTGAATAGGGTCCATCACAGGGCAAAAGGAAAAGTTCACGTAGGCAAATGTTTACCGTTTTTCGTAGCAGTTCTACGAAAATTTACTAGGCCCTTTTTGGCCCTCTTCGCTTTCAGTTAGCTTCAGGGTGGTTTCTGTTTTGTTTCTGAGTGCTGCTGTCAGTTTAACTGATGGTCACTTAGCCTTAGTTACTGCAGAAAGTTTTACTATTCCAGAAAGAACACAGGTGGAAAAGAACCTATAGCTTATACCCAAGATCTGAATGTTAATTTCACCTTTGAAGACAAATTTTTTTGCGGCTCTTCTTATGCCACTTCTCTCACTTGGCAGTGTGGTTGCATGATATTCACCAGTTCGTTTATAATACGCAATCTGCTTAAGATGAAGGTCACCATTTTTTCCGCTACGGACCATTGTGAACCTAGGCAAAGGGTATTTAAGGAAATTACTTAAATGAAAAGCTAAATCAGTCGCTATTTCACTTCAGGCTTCTGTCACATTTCTGTTTACGTATGAGTAGAGCACTTTCCCAGAACATTATCTGTGAGAGACAACTGCGGTACAGAAAAGCAGTGATGTATTTGAGCTAAAATATCCAAGTGCTATTTTTGAGATGCTGAACATCTTCTATATACCAGAAGAAAATGAATAAACGCACTCCAAAAGATTTGCTTGAAGTCTCTCATTGACATCAAGGGAAATGTTACTTACATAGTTTGTACTTGTTATTTCTGTTATGATATTTCAACAGGAAATATAATTTTATATTACTTCTAAATATATTCATGGCCATTGCAAAACACTGTTCCAATCTAGTTATATTTTGTGCATGTTCAAATGATGCCAGTAGCCAGAACTCATATTCTGAACTACATGTAAATTAATTTTTCTTGAACAAAAATGAATTTTGGTGCTGGTTAAGATAATAAACATATTCACATTCTACTACAATTTGAAAAAGTGAAAAAAACTGCTTTGCTTTCAAGAAGTAAAAATCAAAAAAGTTTAATTGTAAGAGAATAACTTCAACAGAGACCATTGCAAACAGAAGAGAGAAATTTACACGAGTGGGTAGTAGGAAGTTCCCGAGAGGACAGCAAAGGATACCATCTGTCACTCACACACACACACACACACTCCACTTAAGCCTCTGAAAGATTACAATCTGTATACAGTCGAAATATATAAAATATATAATGTTTCAAAAAAGAAAAAAAACCCAAAACAGAATACATTAATTTGAGGGTAAAATTCTGACTTTTGAATTATGCTATTTTAGTCTCTGAGACATGGACCAGTACTATTTTCTGTAACATCAAAAACTGGGAAATCAATACATTAGGTACTTCCTTACAATTAGCTTCATTTTGCCATACAAATTTGCTTAACAACAAAATGTCTTTCACTCCATGTGCACACTTACGAAGCCAAATGGGATAAACTCATTTCTTTTTGGATATTTTTTTTTCTTTCATTAGTATGTGACTTTATACTTCGCAGTCCATGACTGCATGCACTGCAGGGAACCGGTACACGCACTTGGCACATTTCAAATTTTTTCCTTCCTCCACCCCCTTTTATTTTTCCAGCATCAGGTTTAGCTATTTATAAGACTTCATAAAATTATCATATATTCAGACTGAAAACCGGACTAATAGATCAAAGAACACAAAAAGCATGTAGGACGGTTGACATCTTCTTTCTGAACGGTATGTCTCTCCTGCGGTTTCACGAACACGCTTATCCTTTCCTAAACGCAACCTACAGTGAGACAAATGTGTGTGCTTCCCCTTACAACCGCCTGGCGACCCCCTCTCCAGACCTGGGGCGCCCCAGCCCCGGGACGGCCTTAATCCGGGCAGAATCTCAGGATGCCACGCCAAGTGCGCGCAGGTCCCGGCGGGAGCTCCGCCCGCCCGCTGCGGAGCGCAGGCCGGCCCGAGCGCGGTCGGCGGCCACGGCCGAGGCGC